TCGTGCGAAGTCGGCGCAGTCCTTCACAATAGTTGGCCAAAAGTATCCTTGCAGAATTGCTTTTCTACTTAAAGTAAACGCACCTTGGTGTGATGAGCAGATCCCAACGTGCAATTCTTTTATCACTTGCAGGGCTTGTTCTGACCTTCATTTGTAAAGCTTCCCGTCCTGGATCACGTAGCTTGGGGTCCGTCTCCTGATCACCCTTGCTTTCTCTTCATCTCATGGTAGTGTTCCACTTTCCTTGTACTCTATCAGATCGTCAATCCAGCATCTAGGTGCAAGCCTTATGGGCAAGACCTCCTGATCTTTGGTCACTTCAATACTTGGTTTGCTTAACTCTTGTATCCGAGCTATGCGAGTGAGGTGTTCGGTAGCATCTGTCGTAAGTTTTGACAAGATATTTTCCTCCCCGTTCTGAGCTCATGGGACACATACCAGATCAGATTCGTCGAAATGTTTAATGAGCTCCAGGTCTGCATCCCTGTAATTATGCATTCATGCTTCTTTAGCTTCGTATTCCCCCCCTAAGTTGTTTGATTACCAGCTTAGAGTCACTTTTGACCCTCAATTTGTGTACCTTGAAGTGGCTTGTTATCCTGAGACCGGAAAGCAAGGCCTCATACTCTGCTTCATTGTTTGATAGAGGGAACAAGTACCTGAGGGCGTGATATTTCTTGAAGCCTTTAGGGGTGATGAGGACCACCCCTTCTCCACAACCTTTGGACCCTGATGATGAACCATCAGTCATCAGAGTCGACCAATCGTTTTCATCTTGGCGCCTTTCTTCAGTTATGTCTCGGGTCGTGCATTCCACCATGAAATATGCTACAGCCTGACCTTTGATTGATGTTGTAGGTTAGAAACTTAATTGGTATTGGCTGATTAGCAAAGACCATTTTACTACTCGTGCAGGTCTGGCCATTCTGAACAAATTACCTAACCCCAGGTATGACAAGACCTTAATAGGGTGAGCCCGGAAGTATTGGGCAAGTTTCTTAGCCGCTATATATACTGCCAGGGCAGTCTTTTCTAGGGCCAGATATTTGAGCTCGGGACCATGGAGAACCTTGCATATATAATAGACCGGCTTCTGCACGGTTCCTTCCTCGTATACCAAAACGAAGTTGACTGCACTTTGTGATACCCCCAAGTAGAGGATAAGTGTCTCACCTGCCTCAGGTTTGCTGAGCAGGAGCTCTAAATGTAAATACTTCTTGAGGTCCTCAAAAGCGGTTTGGCATTCCTGGGACTCCTCAGGGCTGCTAGCCTCCTAGTTAGGATTTGGACCTCTTTTATATTCCACGGGGGTCCATCTCTAGGATTGCCTAGAATATTTGGCCATGGTTAATATCTCTTACTCATTTCAATAAGTGATGCATTAGAATATTTATTCATGACAAAGAAAACAATTCTTAAATTTAAAATTATGACTAAGGTCACAAACGAAAGAATTGGAAGATTATAATGTTGACTGTAAGTTTAAATAAGATAATGTGTAACATAAAAAAACTAGATAGTTGTTCTTTCATATGAGAAAACTATCTAGTATCTACACAAGTAATATTTAATGAATTTATTATTGTAGTGTTACTTTATTCTTTAGCTCTATTGAAAATTGTTATCAATAAAGTACTTGAAAATACCAATGATGAGAAAAATATACAATAAAGGGAACATAGTGTTAGATAATACGAGAAACATCATCAATTATCAATGATAGAACAAGCTATACAAATAGTTAATTCATACCCAACTGTTCAAATATGTATAAAAAAGTCAAATATATACACATATATAATACGAAGTGATCAAACATGTTCTTAATTCCCTACCTATACATCTGCTAGTTGTCACTAATTTGCCTAAGTGTGTGTCTACTTTAATTAAAAGAAAAGTGGCTGTTTTTTTTTTTTTTTGGGGGGGGGGGGGGGGGGGGGGGGGGAATGCTAATCACAAACCTAAGCACCACTAGATCAAATATTCAGAGCTCTGCAAGCCTAAAGATTGTGGAGGTGTGGGTTTTAGGTCTGTGAAGGACATGCAGAAGGTCTCAACTTTAAAGTTGTGGTGGGAGTATCAACAGGGAGACTCCCTTTGGGCTGATTTAATGAGAAGTAGATACGGTAAAATGGGCTTGGGGCAAATGAAGCCTTCTGATTCTCCTACCTGGAGGAGAATCAGTCTCATTCATGAGCAGGCTGAAGATATGGTCAATAGGGACTCTCAAAACATCACACGAAAACATGGTAAAGAAGGAAATTTTACAAGCAACTCTGTATATCAAGCAATAAGGCCTCAGGGAGGGAGAGCCTTGTCAAATGACCACATTTGGCACCCCAAGCAAGTGCCCAGAATCAGAGTGTTCCTGTGGAGACTCTGGCATAAGGGACTTCCTTTCCCAGAGAGATTACAGTCCTTTGCAGCAGTTTACCCATTCATGTGCCCTTTCTGTAAAAACGCTAGCATCTCTTAAGATCATATCCTATTGCTCTGTCCGTTGGCTGATTCTGTCTGGGAGTTCTTCACCATTTCCCTGATGCCTGGAATTGGAAAAGCAAGGAGTATTAATTACAACTTATGAAATGGTGGATTAGCATTAGAGGAAAGTCTATGGATAAGGTTTATATGGTGATAATACCTGGGGTCATTGTTTGGCATCTGTGGAAGGCCTATTGGAATTCTATTTTCAATGAAACCATCCCGGTGAAAGAAGGTTTAATCAGACAAATTACGAGTTTTATGTTAGCGTGGAGCTGGGCAAATGAAAATCAACATGGAAACGACAAGATTAAGGAGGTCAGTTTGTTACCTGGGTCTTTCAAGTTGAGGAAGCCCAAAGTTGTTAGATGGATAAAGCCAAAGTGCTCGAACATCAAGCTTAACTGGAGCATCTTCCGCAAGAATGGCAAGTCATCAGCAGGTTTCCTTCTTAGAGACCATGCAAGAGCGATTATTGCGGTAGATGGTTTCCCTCTCAGCGGATCACCTTCTGGGGAAGACGAAGTGTTGTCTCAAGCGGTGAGATGGTCGGAATCATTTGGGTTTCCTATTGTGGAAGCGGATAGCTTTTATATGCGGTCAGGTGGATCAAGTTGGGGCGGTGCTCGATTAGGCCTAATTTTAAATATGATCCCGGCCCAGGTAAATCAGTCTGCCAAGGAGGTGACTAAGTTGGGCCTTTTCTTGGAGGATGGGGGATTTGTTACCCAACACACTTGCTGGATCTATTCACTTGGATTCTGTTGACACACCTTATATTATTTGCTAAGTTGTTTTTTCTTAGCTTCTTTTTGTTTTCTAGAGAAGTTCGGTTTGGCCCCCTTCTCCTTCTGTATCTTATTTCTCTTAATAAAATCCTGGCAATTGAAACCCGGCAACTACCCCACTGATTTTGGTGGTTTGCCTTCCGGGTTAAAAAAAATACAAAGTGATTTCTGACATCAAGTGGGGCCATTGTAACAATGTAAACATAATATTTTACTATCAGAAAAGCTTTATTTGATGTTTTATATAAATTTTTGATGATTTGACTTGTGAAATTTGAAACAGAAAGTGTCTTTATATTATTATTATTATTATTATTATTATTATTATTATTATTATTATTACTCCCTCCGTCCCTTAAAGTTTGTCACACTTTCCTGAAACGGATGTCCCAAAATGTTTGTCCTACTTTTTCAACTTCCTTATTTGGTAAACAAATCTATACCAAACAGTGTCAAACAGTGCAAAACAGTGACAAACAATGTCGCTACAGTGTGAAACATTGTCGCTACAGTTTAAAGTGAAATTCATCTCCTTAAAACTTGTGAAGTCAAACTAGGACAAACTTTAAGGGACGGGGGGAGTATTATTTATTTGAGTTATTGAACATGAAATAACTACTTAAATGTTGTGTATCATTACTGGTGATACTTATTTGATATCGTTCGGTAATAATGTTTGAGAGTTCTAGCGCCTCTGACCCTTCGGTTATTGAGTCGGTTCGGGAGACCGGGATTATTGCCAACATTGAGGATACGGCGGGCACCAGTGCCGCAACAAGGAATGCGGCCGATGATCCTCCTTCTACTAGTGGTTCTGAAGACGCCCAAACCGGCGAATCTTCAGATGATACTTCCAGCAGTGACTCTGATGATGCCAAGTTTGGTGATGACATGGCAGTGGCAAGGAGGGCCCCCTGATGACACTCCTCATCACCGTCTGGACTTGAGGTCCATCCGGAAACGGAGACAAAATATGCCCACAAAACTCAAGGCCCAAATTCCTACCCTAATTCTGAACCCCGTCGACTTTCGATTGCACGCCGGCCTCCATCCATTTCACGATCGCCCTGGGATGGTGGTGGTACACTACGATTTGGTCAAAGTCGGGCTAAGATTCCTGTTGTATCCTTTCTTGTGGCTTTCTTTAACTATTACGAAGTAGTCCTGGCCCAAATAATGCCGAACTCTTATCGGGTAATGGCTGGGGTTCAGTTGTTGGTGTTTTGATGTCAACGTGGTGCCCGATCTGGATCTCTTCCGCCACTTCTTCAAGGTCGCTCCTCAACAGACTGATGGGTTCTTGGCGGTGAGAGCCCGGACGGTCAGGATTCTATTCTCTGGGAACCTTACCTCCATCAAGGGATGGAAAGATCTTTTCTTCTTTGTCTCGGTCCCGGACGACCTTATCCCAAAGAGGTGGAATGTTTTCCCGCCTAAGTCCAAGGAGCCGTTCGTTTCTAAAGAGTTTAGAAACAAAATTGTCACTGTGGAGAGGGACAAGACGTCCAAAATTATGAAATATCAGACTCCCATTCGGCTTGTCAAAGCCAGGATAGGTACCGCCCGAATTCCTAGGACTTTTGACTAAAAACCAAGTGCCATGGCCCGGGCGGTCCTTCCCGTGCGAGAAACTTACATGTATAATGTATTCACATTTCACACACGCTAAAGCCGCTTGGCACTAACTTCCTATATTTTTGTTTCAGCTCCCAACACCGAAGTAACTATGGACAGGGGTCGTCTTGCACAAATGGGTGGTGCTTGCAAGAGGAAAAGAAACGTGAAGAAACCTACCCAAGCTTCGGCCCCAGAATACTCACAATCGGCGGTCCAGCAACCCAAGCCGATCCAGCAAATACCTCTCGAGCAGGTAAACTTTGAGGACATGGCAGTGGATCAGCCGTTCGAGGCCATGCAGATTGCCCCGATCTTCACTGAGCATCTGGGTTCAGGCAGCACCGTCCCCGCAGAGGCTGATCAGGCCCATTTGTCAAAACGCCTCGAACGAATCACCCTGGAGGATCCAATCCATGAGGTGTTGGAGCATGGGGGTGCCCAACCAGCCAATTCTGGAATGCCTCTGCCATGCTTAATGACTTCAACCTCCTGCAGTTATCGGTTGAACAGGCTAAGACGGGTGTTTCCTTGGCCGCCATCAAGGTACGTACTTTCCCCGTTCGGTAGTTTCTTTACTTGTTTTTTAAGCATCTGATTTCTAAACATTTTATCTTCCTCGTAGGTCGGTCTGTACAACCTGCAACTACAGGCTGCTCGTTTAGCCAAGGAGGAGCAGTTCATTAAGGCTCGGACGACCGTTGAACAGACGACTGCGGATGTGCTCCGCCTGGATGATCAGGAGCGGAAGAAGTTCGAAGAAGATCTCGATCGGCTCCGGGTGAACTTGTTACCTCTCAGACCAAGGTGGGAGCTGCTGAGGTAGCGCAGGTAGCTTTTAAGGAAAGCGAGCCTCAAATCTCGGACGGTCCTCGAGAAATAATGGTGGATCTATCCTCCGTCCGGGCTGCAACTCAAGCAGATTATCAGTCTTCTAAAAACATGTGGCACATGTGGGTGTCCTGTTCGGGAAGAACTTGGAGCCGCTCCCCCGGGGTCCGGTTCGACAGAAGGAGGGGGTGAAACTGGCCGATGAGACTGTGACCGGTCAGCAGTGGGTCAATGCTCTGGCCAAGGAGACCTACATAGTCGGTTGCCAAGACGTTATGCAGGGCATGGTGCCGATCCTGGGATGGCTCACACGGAGACCGGTCGATATGAAGGAGCTTACTAAGGACGAAATCCTTTTGGCCCAGTTTCACAAGTACCACCAGAACCTGAAGAGAGTGGATGACCGGGCTGCTGGCAAGGAACCTGAGCCTCCAAGTGCCTCAGAGGATGAAGAAGGGGCTGACGATGAAGCAGATGATGAGGCTGAGGAATAAAGTGTCAGCCAGTAGTTTTTTAGATAGTCTTACTTTTATGTAATTACTTATCCTTTTGCCTTCAACTCACTCTCAATGTAAATTCCGACCAGCAGTGATGAAGAGTAAATGCCCTTTTCAGCCCATCTGGTGTCCTTTTATCTATGCTCATAATGTTCTCGTTATTTCCCATTGCTTTCATCACTACTGCATAAGCTTTCTTATTGGTACTTTGAACGTAGCCGCTTTTCATGCTAGCCTCAACCCGTTCGGGGTCCCCGACTTGTATGAGAGTTGAACAGGGATTTTGTACTTATTTGTTTTTGCTTCACTTGGAACCCGTTCGGGATTTATGTCCCTCGCTCAAACCCGTAGGACTTTTGTAATTTTTCATGGCAACATATCACCATCCGGGATATCGGACGACACACTGCCATTTTCAACATTGTAAGATGCCACTGTTCGGGATGTCAAAATGGCACTACCACCATGATCTTTCTATCATTTGGGATAGCCCAAGGATGTGTCCTGATGAACCCTTAAGCCCTTAGGACTTAGTCATTTCCCTTGGCATGATAATGTCGTCCTATGAATGGTCATCTTTCTCTTGTCCTTGTCACCCCGTTCGGGTTTTGGCCATCCCTCACGCTCATGCTATTCCAGTGGTCACCACCTTAAGTGCCTTCCATTTACTACCTGCCACGTGTCCCCCAATGATTTAGCTTCAGGACGGTGGCCTCTGAATATACTTGAGAGCTGGTGTTTCCTCATTTTTCTGCTGCTTCCTTGATTATTGCATTGTTGTTAATGTTCTCTCTCTAAAAACCTTCCAGGCTTCACTTTCTTCAACGTACTCTCATCCTCTTTTCTCCCCTTCTATGTCTAGTTTGTCTCAATCCTCGGAGGAAAAGGAGATGGTTTTCATTCGTCGTTCAAGGGGGAAAGGTGGCCCGAGTGGCCAGGCAGGCAATTCCTCTTCTCAGTCTTCGGATTTCCTAACTAATTCCCCAATTCCCATGAACGTCCAACAATTGCTTCCCGACAATGGATGCCACTCGAGAGAGGAACTTCAGATGTATGAACGTGGGATGCCCGAGCAGCCTTCACGGTATTCTTTAAACTTTTACTGCATTCGGAAGCAACGCCAACGCCTCCCTGTAGACGCCGCTCGGAAAATATCTCAATTCCTACCACCCCATACGCAGTTTTATATCAGCTTCATTCGCCACCCGATGAGGCACCGACCGGGGTACGTGTTGGTGCACCTATATGCATTGGTCGCCGGTCTTCGTTTCCCCATGCACCCATTCATCATAGATTTCATGCGTCGGCTCTCAGTGCTCCCGACCCAGTTCATGCCCAACATTTACCATATTTTGACCGGGTTCGTCATTCGGTGCCATGACCTGGGAATTTCCCCTAGCATCAAATCTGTTTTTGCACCATTACAGCTATCAACCGTACTGGAGCACCGGTTATTTGCGGTTGATCGCCCATCCTTACTGTCAGCTATTTACCAGAAACCCCACTCCCCATGAGAAATGGGAAGAGCGCTTCCTGTTCGTTCATGTGGGTGAGCCGTTACCCTTTCCCGACGTGTGGAACACCTACCTAATTCGGGATAAGGAACCCGCACTGGACGCAGCCCTTAAGTGCTAAGTCGACCAGCTTCTCCTGGGGGTTCCCAGAATATTCGGGCCTACGTGACACCCTCAAAAATCCTGGTTGCCAGCATAGGTAATCTCCTCATATTTTTTCCGTTCGGCATATTTGGTTATAGTTTATGCTTTATTGATAATATTTCTTTCTTGTAGGTGTGATTCCGTCCTAGATGAAACGTTAGGGCCAACCTTCAAGCTCGTCCCACCCGGTCGGAAAGGGAAAAGTGAAACTTACTGTCGATAGTGGCAAGATTATTCAACACTTCGACCCCCCCCCCCCCTCGGGGTAACATTGAACCTACCTGGATGTGGTGGATCTGGCTGGCTCCAAACCAGTTAAACCAAAGGCCGTTCTATCCCCCCCCCCCCCAACCAACGAGATCGTGCCTGCTAATGCTGAGGCTACCGATCGGGCACACGTGGAATTCTCAGGCATGGGCCCCCGTTCAGAGGGAAAGACGATGTTGGGCCAGACAGTCGCCTCCTTATGGTGCAGCGTGGCTCAGAAGACCCCCCCCCCCCCCCCCCCCCTCGAGCTTCACGAGCCTCACTCATTGGACCGACGTGGTTGAGGCATGTCACTTAGAGAGTGTCAAGGTATTCATCTTTCGTGATTCATTCTTTTCTCAATGTTTATCCCGTTCTGTCTCTTACAGTGTGACGGTGTTCCTGTCTCTTTTAGGCCAGGGTTTACTATCACAAGGCCATCCCCGCTTCTGAACGGGAGATGATGCTTTTATCCCGAGAGCGGAACGATGCCCAAACTCTCCTTGCGGCCGCACACAAGATGGCCTCCATCTGCAGGATCGGGCAACCAAAGGGGATAAAAGCCGTTGCGGAGCTGGCTGAGGTTGAGCAACGAGTCCAACGGCGCGACCGGGAGATCAGCTCCCTTAAAGAAAAATTGAAGGCCGCTGAGGAGGCTGGAGTGAAGATCCGGAAAACAAAGGAAAAGAAAGTTGCTGCTCCTTTAAACGTTGATGTTTCGAAAATCAGGAAGCAAGCCGTCATTGACTTCCAGCGCGGCACCGGTCTGAACATGGCGCTGGAAAACATTGCTTGGGAGTTCCTCACTTAGCATCTCAGTCAGCACCTTCGGGCCAGCGACGATCCCCTCAAGGTTGGGATTAAGCTTCTTGATGAAACTCCGGAGGGGATTAAGCTTCTTGATTAAATCTTCCAAGCCAGATTTAGCCTAGCCTCTCTTCTTGTATTTTTATTTATTTGTATTTTCCCATTCCTTTGTATCTCCCGGCCAAAAGTGCCAAACAATAGAAGTTATTTGTTTATATTTCCCGATCGCGAAAGTTACTTAAGAAGCTTTTTGTTTTTACTTCTTTAAATGTTTGCCATCTTCCAAATCATAGTTTCGATTCCCCCGTTCGAGTTTTTTGATATGGTTCGTCCATACTGATGACTGAGATGTGACCATTTCCAAACTACATGTAAGATTCGCCGTTCGGCCATCCAAAACGATTCATTCATACGTGCAGCCGAAATGGCGACTTACCTCCCAAATCAAAGCTTGGATTCCACCATTCGGTCCAGCCGACATGGTTCGTCGAAGCTAATGACTGAGGTAAGATTTGAACCATAGTTTCAATGCCTCCGTTCGGAAATCTAGTTTTGACCGGATGGTCAAAAAGTTCGTCCATACTTCTTGTTTCAAATCATCTCCTAAACCAACAGTGAATCCCCCGTTCGATTATCCAGAATGGTTTGTCAATACTGGCTGAATTGACGGCTCTCCTACAAACCAAAGTAGTGATTCCCCCGTTTGATCTTGTCATTACGGTTCATGAATACTTATGGTTGAGGTGAGGCTTTTAGCCATAGTTTCGATTCCCCCGTTCGAGTTTTTCGATACGATTCGTCCATACTTGTGGCCTCTAGAAGTTATGTCTCTCTCTCTCTCTCTCTCTCTCTCTCTCTCTCTCTCTCTCTCTCTCTCTTAACAAGAGGTGGCAACAACCGTTTTTATTGGTAAAATTTCCTCGGATACTTCACATTACAGGTTCCTACCGATCGTCCCTCCGTTGTCTTCAGTCCAAACGTCCCTGATGCGTACTTGCGGTAAACTCGGTAGGGACCTTCCTAGTTTTGCCAACTTTCCGCTCTCGAGCGGCTTGCTCTTCTCCCTTTTTTGAGAACCAAGTCCCCTACTTCAATTGACCGAATCCTGACCTGTTTGTCGAAGTATCTCTGGGTCGCCCGTTGGTATTCCTCAATTCTTCTTGTGGGCAGATCCCATCTCTCTTCAATGAAATGCAACTCAGCCCACAGGGTATCTTCATTTCGCTCAGGATCGAAGTGTGTCGTTCGGTATGTGGGAACTAGAACCTCCATCGGGACTTTAGCCTGGAATCCATATGAGAGGGCAATCGGTATTATGATGGTCCCGGATAGAGCTAAAAGTCTATAGGGGGGTGAATAGACTTTTAAAGCTTTTTCAACTTTAAAAACTTTTCCCTGCTAGATGAAGTGATCTATAATCTTTTGGGAGATTTTTAGATGCACAACGGAATTCTTGACCTCTAAATAAATAGTGTATAATAACTTTCTGTGTTTGAGTAGAGTTTGAACGTATTTGAGTGAGCAGTTGACTGGGCAGTTGAGTAGACTGCAGGGAACTGCTGAGTCAACTGCTTAAAGAGAAATGAAATTTTGAGAAAGCTTATTATAGAATCTTACTTAGAATGATGAGATCTTTCAAAAAAATGTTCTGAGCTGAGTTAAAAGTGGAAGTTTATGATAGCAGTGGTCTAAGCAGTTGAGTGGAACTGCTGAGTCAACTGCTTCAGGAAAAATAAAAGTATGAGAAAGTTGATTGTATAGTCTTACTCAGAATGATGAGAGCTTTCTGGAAATGTGTTGGGCTGAGTTAAAAAAGTCAGTGTATGACAGCAGTGGTCTGGGCAGTTGGGTGCTCACTAGGGAACTGCTGAGGCACCTGCTGAGTTATAGGCTGATTCTTAGAAATCTGTTTGAACAACCCTCTTTGTAATGATGTTATGAGGATCTTATGATGTTGAGATGTTTCAAAGGAAGTGAGTGTATGGGCAGTGGGCTGAGCAATGGGGTAATGTAAGGCAACTGCTTAAATTACTGCTAGCAGCAAGCTTTCTTACTCTAAGTGTTTGGTGTGTGCTTTGTTGACTGAAAGGAAATCAACATACAGTATATCCTGGTTCAGAGGTGGTGTAATCCTCTTACGTCCAGTCACACCCTCTTTCAGATGAATTTCCACTAAAGTATTCAGCCCAATACACCCAGTGTCAATCTAGCCTTTACAACAAATTGGCCTAGATAGAAGGTGTTTCGCTTTGGAGTACACACCACTCCAAGTTCCTCAATCCTTAGACTTTTCTCAATTAATCCAGTGGGGATCAAAAGGTACTGTGTCTATCTATCCACATTTAGGACTTGATAACAAAATCCTTCTAAGTGTTTACAACTGTTTTATGATTTATAGGAAAACT